CCCCCCCCCCCCCCCCCCCCCTCCGTGTCTTTGAAGCCATGATCCTATGTGTTTTCATGGCATTGAAGTCATTATCCTATGGTCATGTCGTGTCATGCGTTTGATCCAAAAGTTTGTTTGAAGTTTTACAGGCAACTTTTAATGTAACTATTGGGCATAGGCCAAACATATTAGATCTATGCAATTATTAACAACCAATGGCGAATCACCCCTGTGGTCTATTTATGAATCTGTGAAATATACAGTTCATGGAAAGGGACATTAGCATCAATGGTCGTCAGTAGCTGGCATGCGCAGGGCAGTGCTACTATAATTTAATTAAAAGCCCTTGAAGAAGAAGCCCAGCCTAACTTAATACCATCAATTAGGGGTTGCTCTGCCATGTGACTAGAATCCCACACCCCATTTGTGTGATTCATACAGGAAAATATGCCTCTTTGTCTTCGAGGTCAACCGACTCTTTGGAGAAGCTGGCGCGGGGTCAGGAAACAGTAGTTGAGGGTGTAGGAGTGGGAACGAAGGCAGGAGAACCGGGGAATTGTTCTACTAGATAAGCCATAGCATGAGGTCATTTTCAATGAGAACTTTTGTATTTTCATCTCAGCTTATCACATCGTCTTTATAGTGCAACAGCTGGTCTTACGAGGAATCGGTTGTTGCAGCGTGAGAGAATGTGCAACAAGAGTAAAATGTGTCCCCATTTAATATAGACAGAAAGGCTTTTCTTAAATATATTCATTGTAAAGTGTAGGTGCTTTGATTCTGTGCCCAGCAGGGCTCCAGACTAAAGTTGTGTTAATACTAGAGTGTGGCAGCGTGGCGCGAGCCAAGTTACGAGCACTCACATGGCCTTTATGCTGTTCTTTGAAACACCAGTACAAACAAAATGAGTGTAACCGGCGAAACGTGTATGGCACTTAATTTGTCTCAACCCGCGTCCATAAAAACCAGACGCATGCACCTTACACGGGCACACAGAGCGAGCAGGAAAGCATTTCCACTCCGCATGCACAAATGCGGCTCTGACAAGCTGGACCCTCCTCCCTACGATCACTCGTCAAGTTGACTTTTGAGACTCTGGAGGCGGAGATCAAATAGACAGTGGTTGGACGTGTCTGCTCCATAATGATCATCATGCACTCGCATTAATGCGACCACGTGAAATTGTAATTCGCACACTTGTAAAAAAACGTTTTGGTGTGCAGTGTGGAGCCCTTTGGTGGTCAAAGATCAAGGCCACTGTGGCCGTAGCTCAATAATTCTTATGCTAATTATAACAACTCGCACAAATGTCTAAAAGGATCAAATTATGAAGTGATGGCATTTTGGACAAACATGGACAAAAACTGTTACTTGACTGTTTTGTGATGGCATACAACCGTGAGGCGGTTCTTCTAGTTTGCCTTTGTTTTTTAGGTTGGTGTTCGGAGAACTTTGATTGATGATGCCTGTCAAGGACATGGATTCTGCCTGTACTTTTGAGAGACGGATGCAATCGAATTTTGGCAATAAAGCAATCTTATTACGTGACATTGGTTTTGATATCAGTTCGTAAAGGAGCAGAAAATGTTCCAGGCGAGGCAGCAGAAAGCCCAGCTGGCATGGATCTTTAACTTTAAAAAAAGGGTTTCACTATCCAAGGTCCCTCAAGTCTTTTATTCACACCTGTGGGAACGTTTACAAGTCTCCATCCAATTCAATCATTCTCCCAGATCTGATCTGTCTCCCATAGACATGACAGGGCACTCAGACCTTCTGTCCACTTCATGAAGTAAAGCCCTCTTCTGGCCAAGAATGTATGATTTACTCATGCGAGGTCATGAATCAATGCTAAAAAAAAAACGAGCATTTATGCCAATTTGGCAATTGAGTTAGGTGAATCTGGACGCATCGCCACACTGTCATTTATCCATGTCACTGTTCAGCAATCAAAGCAACCGCATGAACTATTGTGTACGATTACATCAATCCTGTTTTTATCAAAGCCTCATGTGAAATGTTATTTCTGTAGCATCTTACGTAAACTAACGACGGCGATGGCAGACGCACGCTTTTGTTTTTGAGTGGCAGGACGCACCCTAGTAGTCTGTGCTCTCCTCAACCCAGCCATCGCTGCATTGTGTCTCCAACAGCACTCACCATGGAGACTAAAACGCTTTTTGGCTCAGGTTGAGAGGATGTCTATGGATGTGTGCGAGTACGTATGAGTCACTATTAGGGATGTTTTATCATTTCATAATGAAATGGAAACAGCACGTGTGTTCGATTAGGTGAGCGAAGAATGCCGCACCATGCTCGGGCATCATTGAATGTATTGTTGGTAATACCAGAAGGAAATTCCTTAAATTATGAATTGTTGGTCCTTTGACTTACCTTTAAAGTTATCCACGGGTTTTTATTCACTTTGGCTACATTTATATAAACCTTTGCTTAAAACGTCTTGTGAGTTTTTACTCTCCATCACTTCTGTGCTCCGGCAACGTTCCTCCGGCTCTTTGATAGAGGATATTATTACGTTTTAATTAGTCCCCGCTGTTATCACAGCAATATTGCAAAGCTGAGTCTCATCAAAAGAGACTGGAATGGAAGAAATATTACATTTCCTGTTTTTAATTTTGAACGAAAAGTTGAGCTGGGACATTGGCAGCCCAGTAGAGGATTAAAATGTGTGACTTCACTTTCTTTTCTTTTTTTCTGTGAAAAAGATTTGGAGAAAATTAGGCAGGAAGTATGCGGCTTTCCCTGAAACCCAATGTTTCCTCTGGGAACTGCAGCATTTTTACACTGTTTATCAACTTCATGGACTATATGTCCACTGAGTATTGGGATTTCTGCAAAACTGAGTTTAGTGAGTTTAGTTTAAGACATAAGGGAATCCATTTTACTCAGACCTTTGTGTTCTCCAGCATCATTTAACCTTGGCTGAACATTTTGAGTTTTTTGGCAGAGAATTTCAGTCGTCCTGTAGATGATAAACCCACAGTACGGATATCAGTCCCTCTGTGTGTTTTCTTATTAATTCATTATGCTGAAACAAAGGCACTGATGTTACCTGCTGCTGAACTTCTATGCAAGAGTGTGTAATGTATGATAAGGCAATATGGTGCAGGACACAAGGTTTGTCGAAGATCCAGTCCATAGAGTCTTATTCTGATCCGTTTGTTTTTGTTCTGTCCCCAAGGTCAGAGTCGGGGATCTCCAAATTTACCCATCGTCTGTCCCTCAAAGAGCGTGTGGCCAAAGGAGAGAAGACTTCCACGGACAGACCTTCATCCTACAGGAGACGATCTCTAAGTGTGGACTGGTAAGACCAAAGACCATCTCCTAATCTGCTGAATCAAGTTATTTCACGATCCCTAAGGTTGTGATCGTGTGCTCGGCCTCCACTACTTCAGGCTTTTAGCTTCTTAGACTGTGCATCTTATGAAATAAGACTTCATCAGGCGCAGGATTTTGATTTGAATCTTTGAAACTAAAACCGGGCCTTGCTATGATTTGTCTGTGTATCAAGGCTGAGGTTGATGAGGATTGGGCGGCTGGTGTTTGGGGCGGGGTCAGAGAGTGGGAGGAGTGGTGATAGGCTCCCTGCTCTGTCTCTGCTGCGTCTGGGTTTCGTTGGAGAGCGCCAAGCAGCTCCAGTGGCGCCGGCTCATCTTGCTCTTGTAAAGCTCCAATCCTCAGGCAGCCGATGAAAGGAGTTTGAAAGCTTTCCATCACACGGCTGCCTTCCCTTCCCCACCCATGTGACTCCCTCCCAGTCTCCCCTCTTGTTGCGCGGCCTCCACTCATTTATCTACCCATCCGTCCTGCCGACTGTCCGTCTGGCCCCCCCCCCCCCCGAGCTTCCCGCTATGTTTTCTTGGCTCTTCCTTTATACTTCTCTCACCATTGGGAAAATAGCCCCAGGTTAGAGCGGATCTTACACTTCCTTTGCACTTCATTTTGTCAAGTAAAAAAAGTCCAAACAGTCACAGGTCTAAACAGTTTCCAGGTTTCTAATTGCTGTGTGAGGACTACAGTAGCTTTTCAGCGGAGTTACTTTGCGGTTTGTGGAGTTACAGGTGTGGGATTCTCTGAGGTCCCATCCAATCATGCGAGGGCCCGGTGTGAGGTCTTACGAGGTCTTTTGTCGGCCTCACGAGACCTACTGTGTGGTCTCGGACTGACGTTGCGATGTGTGGTCCGCCAGCAGAAATGTGGTGTTAAGTGTATGCGCGTTGGAGTGTACGTGCAGTGTGAGGTCCTTTACTTTAACAGCTTCGTGTTTTCCTCCCATGTTGCTGGAGAGGGGACCTGGCCTTTAAAGTTCAGGCCCTGATTGATGTAGTCTGGTTTTAATGAAACACAGTGGGTAGATTGGACATGCTCATTTACGAGAGGGGGGGGGGGCTACAGCTGGATTCTGACTTTCTCCGGGGCGAGGCGCCGTTACAGGAGTGTGACTGGTCTTTTGTGACATAATAAACAAGGGACCCCAGGAGGAGAGACTGGAGGTTGAGGGCTGATTCATGCTACTGGGAGGTGAAACAAGGTCGGTCCAGCTCCTGACAAGACCAGCAAGGCTTCTGTGGAATGCACACGGTCATCAACACGGTCGACGGGAAACACGTGCGCTTAGTAGTGTCTTGAAAACGCCCCTTGAATCAGTTGCATTTTTTGAATTCTTCACTGAGAAATAAGAGTACAGTTGAGATAGATCTTTAGTAAATAGATACCTGTTATATAACTGTTGATGCCTCAGTGAGTCTTCTGTTTCCTGAGACAGAGGCTGTAAAAAGCACTGGGATGTATTTTGCCTCTAATGAAAGTGAAATGTAGCGTTATCAACACTTTTAAATTCAGGTTTAATGATGTTTATCTGCACACTGCCCCCTTCCTTTCACTCTTTAAATCAAAACGTGTAAGAGTAAAGTTACAGAAGGATTATATTAAATACCGAGCTGGAGACCAGCAGCCCTCCGCAGTAAAGCAGTCTCAGGTGGCTTAACACTTTACCAACTATTTAGTGGACCATTGCCGTTTACGTCGATTCAAGTCAGATACCCAAACAACCTGTGACCATTAAGGGGGTTCTTAGCCAAGGCTGCACATATACAAGCTTGAAACAGGAGCCGTTTTGTAGCTTCATCAAAGTCCATGAGAGCTGGCAGGGCTTTGGGAAAATGCGATAATAAAAGATAATGGGGGTGTTATTGTTATTGGTAATCATAGTAAATGGCCTCTAGAGTATGGGTGGAGAAAAGAGTAGAAGGAGGGGGTGAGAGGGAGTGCTAAAGGGGAAATAAGAGGGTATTTTCTGCCTGTTAAGATTGCTGAAAAAATATTGATAGGGTCTTTTCGGTGGGTTTTTTCTCCAGGAAACCATCAGTATGAATAATTACAATCTGGATTGGTTACGTCTTTGGGTAAAAATGGTGGCCTCGTGAGCTTCGATAGTTCTGGATTTCATTTTTTCCTTAGCCCGCTGCTGATACTTCATGTCACTCAGAATTGTTTGCATTGTGAGACCATTAAGTTCAATATCTAAACTAATACACTCGGCCTATCGGTCGGTTTCCCACTGCCAGGTATAGTTGCTGCCTGGTTTCTTGTGCATGACGTGGACACGGGAGACATCCAGTAGAGTCTGAGAGTCAATACCGGGGCTATAAAGGGACACTGGTTGTGTTCCAGCACAGGGCTAGTAAATAAGTCTTTATTTCCATATCCTCTCATAGTGACAGAGAGGCAGTTCCAGCCCTTTGCCAAAACCCCTGAGTACAATGGAGAGGCAGCCATGTATGTCGGCCAAGCCGTTTTTTATTTCCCATAACGGTTCCCCCGCAGTACGCCTGGAGAGGGAACTCTATACATAAGTACTTAAACATCAACGTGTGCTAGCAATCGGCACGCGAACCATATCCACTTCATAAATTAACTAAAAAAATCTAATTTTAAGTTGGTCCCACACCAGTAAGTACCTTATTGTGATGTGTGTGGTTATGCAGTATAACCCCTCCATCCCCTGAAGGCCCCGCTGCTCTGTCTGGTGCCACCCTGTCTTCAGGGATAACTCGGAGCTGACAGCACTCTTCGGATGACGTCCTAATTTCGATGCCAGGAGAGAAACCAGCTTCCCCTTCCCGTAGTTGATATATTTACACACACACAGCAGAAGCTCATGTCTGATTCTCTCCTTGATATTTATGCTCACACACATACATGAGCAAACACACGTTGTAATAGTTAGGACTGTGTTGAGTTGGGTGTGTAACGGGGGAATGGGGGTTACCAAGTGCTAATCCTTATGAATTGAGCACAAAGGGAATAAAAAAAAGAACATGGAGGAATCACCAAAGTGTTCGTGGAAAAAAAAGAGGGCAATGCTCAAGGGGCCCGGGTGTAAAGTGGTTTTAGACGGTGTGCCACTCGCCTCGTTTGGTTCTAATTCGATTTAATATTCCCCACTCTTTCTTTTTCTTCCTCCTTTCATCCTTCAGATTGTTCTCCTTTCTTCTGTGGCTGAGAGCTGTCACTTCAAACAAGAGGGACAAAAAAAAGGAGGTTATAGATCCCGATAATTTGTCTTTTTAGACATTCTGCTCAGAGCACCCTGTTAAAGATCACGACAGCGGGAAACTGATCCCAGCTTGTGCTGGAATGTCACATTTCTTTACTTCTGCGTTCTGGCCGCATTAAAATGACATTAAGCTTTGACACACATACATATAAATGGTATAAAACGGTATTTGAGTAAGATATAGTTCAAGATAAGATGCAATTTTGGGCTAGAAAGTTTTTTTATTTTTCACGGTTTCACTGAAAATACATTATAAATAGTGTAGTTATATGCTACATGCTATATGTACACACATCACGTGCAAAAAGGATATTAGAGATCAGAACTTCTTGTCAGGTGTTACTTATTTCATCACCACAAATATATACCATTGATTTTCATCAGTGGCTTTCAGTAATATTTTCGGCCCAGAGACTTTTATTAATAGCTTTTTTATTGACAAACACTTTAGGATATATATCAGGAACATTCTCCCTCAGAACAAAACTGTTTTTAGCTGCTCTGCTGAGTTTGGACTTCAACTGCTTCTTGGCCCGTAATGTTAAGTTGTTGAGACTGAGTTATTGGCGAGATGAGGTATTATAGATTCCAGTCCACACAAGGGAGCAGCATTTCTGCTTACCTCTCTGCTTTTGGATAGGCCTTGTGGTATTCTCTCTCACACACATGCAAACAAACACAGACACATTACACACTCACACGAATGAAGTAGATCAAGTACACGCAGGCACTCGTATACAGAAAAACCTATGTGCACACTGCAGACATGCATGCACCCACACACAATATACGTACATGCATGCGCTCCAAGATGTCCACACACTCACACAGTGTCTTCTTGACTCTGGATGCTGTGGGCCGCACTAAGGGAGATTTATGAGGCTGGCTCCCTCTTGTCCTGTGTGTCTCCTACTTGATACTCTGGTTTCCACTCCAAACCTCAACTCAGCACACAGAGAGACAGGGGGTTGGGATGGAGGGCGGCGACTGAAAGAGAGAAGTCGGGGTTGGGGGGTGGGGACTAGAATAGGTAAGAAGAGGAGGAGGGAGAGAGTGAGAATAATTGAGAATGAAGTAGATGAAATGGCAGATTAAAAAGATGATGGAGAGAGACAGCTAGAGTGAGGGACGAAGAGCTCTGAAAACTGGACTGTGGATTTGTAAAGAGAGACGAGAGGTTACGAAATAGAGAGCATGGGAGAAAAAAAGCCCGTTAATGTGGTGTGGTGTCTGTGTGTGTCTGTTTCTGTGTGTGTGTGTGCAGAGACAGACAGCCAATGGGTCAGAGGGTTAGCGTAGCTCCATGTGTTGCTCATAAGCTGATAAAAGACAACCGAAGCTGGGGAAAGTACACCCCTCTGCCTACTTTCTCTGAGTGTGTGTGTGTGTGTGTGTGTGTGTGTGTGTGTGTGTGTGTGTGTGAGAGAGGGTTGTATTCAGGGTCAGAGGCAGAAAGAAAATCGGCTGGGGACCCATGAGGTTTGTGGTTTAAAACTAGTCTTGAGAAAATGGTTTACAGATTGAGATAGGAAGCTCAGGTACAGACCTCCAGACCCACGTCAGTGTACTCAACAAAGAGTTTTACTCACTCACTTACTGATGTCAAGCCAGAGGAATTCTTTGCACTTTCTTGCTCTTATTTATGATTTTTTTTTTTTAAATCAGCTGACAATGTTTCCCCCATTTACCTCACCCAATCAGATTACGCCACAACCTTTGTTATTGAATTTAAAACTTTTCTTTTC